CCACTCGGCAAAAAAAAAATCAATAGAGCTTAAAGTTACAATATCAAACTCAGAGCACGCGTCTAAGCTTCAGCAATTTCATTCTTTCCTGCTTAGCGTTTCGTTTGCTGTTCTGGGCTTTCACATGAAAGTGGAGCCTAGTAAGAACATAAAACTTGATAATTTTGTTTGTGAGGGACATACTGTGGTCAGGGCAGCCAACAAGTGTAAGCTTTCTTAACTGCAAGAAGGAAACCAAGTCCATGATGCTGTCAGGTTTGACTTCTGTAACACTGAAGCAGTGGGTAAAAGTGTTCTCGAGAGTGGTCACGAGTTCATTGAGCTTGACTGATGGGTACAGCAGGCCTCCTCGGTCAACAGCAGCCGTGAGGGATGCTGCAGCTGGAGATGGATCGTTCTCGCCTTGTAGGAGCTGCTGGCTGCACTCTGCACATTTGGTGCTTGCAACGCTTTTTCTTGCCACATATCCAGCCATGTAGAATATGAGTCTGGCATCGCTGCTTTGCACGACCATGTCTGCATGCTCGGTGCCGTGGCCGTATTCATTGAGCACTTCATGTGCTTCGGCAAGGTTTCCTACGTCAAGAAGCTCGTCTAATTTCCTCCGAGGAGTGAGGTCCTTTCCGTTGTCAGCTCCCAGCAGACTTCTCAGCAGTCCTGAGGACACATTGCTTCCTTTCGGTGGTTTTGCCAAATTCTGGAAGCTCAAAGTGTTGACCGAGATTAGGAACTGGGAGGCAGTCGGATGATCATTGCATCCAGACATTTGTCGGACGATTCCAAACAGCCTCTCCAGGGGGTCCTGACTCAAGCGGCATGTCATCATATAGCTGAAGTTCAACTTCATCGTCAGGTAGCGGAGAAGGTGTAGCGTGCTTGATAAGGTAACACGAAGCCCCTCGGCTGTACTGCGGCTTAGGAAACCTCCGGAGCCAGCAGCTGTTTCCCAATCGTCCAGGTAAGTCAAGAAGTTTTGAATGCACTTCTCGTGCATCCCTCCAGGCTTAAGTGCACCCGAACTGCACCTTGAAGTCATGGCCTCAATGAGCCTTCTCATTCTTTCCACAAAGCTGACTGTCGCCGCTGTGCTCCCATGCTTTTCTTCGATGGTTGCATTGTACAAGAAAAGGCCTCTGAGGACTTCATCACTGTAAAGCCGCACTGCATAATTTACCCTCATTTTCTCAAAGCCATTGGGATGCACAACCGATTTGCTAATATGAGGCATGGCTTTGAGAGTCGTGTCATGCTGTTCATCAAGCTTCCGGGCACAGTCAATAGGGTCAACACTGGCATGGCCTTCTGGCAGTTTCACGCCCGTTCGAACAAAGGTGTTCCTCACACATTTAAGAAGGTGTGGGAAGTCCGAGATGAAGTGCAGAAAACGTTCTGGGTCTGTAGGGTGCTGCCTTCTACATACTGTGTTTTCTTTCCTGCCGTGTATGCCGAATGAGTGCCACATGCTTCTGTTCCACGCAGCTCCATCAGTGGTGATAAAGTCTACGTGCAGACCGGCGTTTTCGCTCATGACTACTGCTTCGAGGATTATTTTGCCTAACGTCTCGGACTTCACATTGCTGCGTGATGCGAACACACCAATAATCTGGTGCCACGTGCCTGTAAAAGGCACGAACAATACTACAAGGCCATGGTCACATGCTACGGAGCGCTCACTCTCTGGTGTGAACTTCCCAAGGTCCACAAAACCTTCGATGGTGCCATCGGTTCCCAAGCTCAAGTGTTCAGATAGCTTAATCTCATCAATTAACAGCCCACCATGGCGCTGGAACAAGTCCATAGATTTTGTTTTTTCCGCCACAGCAGCAAACACTTTTTCGCTCAGGCCGAATCCACTCCTGTAACGCTTGAGATATCGACGTAGTGATGTTCGAGAAGGCAACGCCATGATGTTGTTTTTGCGTATATGCTCATAGAGGCGTGGGCTTTTCATGGACATAATAAGGCACTCTAGAGCCCATTCACTTTCATACTTCATCCCTTTCGTGGATTTTCTTTTAGCCGCAGCAAAGCACGCCTTGACTTGTTGCTGCTGCTTAATGGGTAGGGCCTTCACCGCTTCTTCAAATGCTGTAGAATCATTCCGTGCATTCTTTTCTTTCATTTGTTTGATGAGTGATTTAGCCTGCAGGACACTCAGGCGACTCCTTTTCGCTTGCGCTGTTCGCAGCTTAAGCCTGTATGAAAGCTTTTGGGACTGGGCCACATTTTTGCCTTTTCTTCGCCTGTAGGACTCACGATTCAGGAGTAGTCTTCTGAGGTGCTTGCATTGTGGGCAGGCTTTTTCTGGCGTTGGAGCAACCCCACGGCAAGATGGGCTGAAGGTGCTGCCATCAAAAGTCTTCTCCTTGTACTTTAAATTCACTCCAAGTTCACCAGTTTTACCAAACCCTCTGCATGGTATCATGGAGTCGACGTCGCGAAGCAACTCTTCTGCCATTTCGATGTCGGTAATGTCAAGGGTCTTTATTTTTGTGGCTTGCACAAAAGCTGTCGCTTGAAGTTTGTTTTCATCTGATGTCATTAGCACATACTTGTCAATAGTCAACTTGTCACCATCTAGTGCGCAAACTGTAAACACCGTGGCGTTGTCGGCTCCAGCAATTAGATGTCGAGCCCAGTAAGCGCTGGGAAGACCACACTTGCGGACGTCGGGAATTGCGGGCACATTCGGAACAGGTATTTGGTTACTGTCGCTTTCTGTGCTGTACGAGCCAGCTGTCTCCTCGCAAGCAGACGTGCTTGGTTCCTGACGCCGAATTTTCGATGGTAGGCCGCAAGTGGATGTTCTTGACGTCCTTTTCTTCGGCACTTTCTTTGAAAGATACGCAGGAACATTTGGGAATATGGTTGGCACCGCGTCAGATTTCAGCACCGGTTTCCCTCGGGGAATCTGAACAGTTTCGCCGTTTATCACATGCGTGTAAAAACGCTCAATAAACTGCTCGTCGAAATGAAGCTCACATAGCGCCGACTTCACGTCCAACAACTTGTCGGCACGGGGTACGGCTCGTTGCCAGGCTTCGAAGAGGGCAGGGTCTTTGGGAACAGAGAAAAGAGAAGCACGCTGACCTTGCTCCCTCGATGACACATAGCCGCTCGTGCAGCCAGGAGCAAAGCAGTGGCGTTGCCTCGCTTTCGTAGTGCTGGAGTTCATCCTAAGGTCGGCACTCACACTGTCATGTCAGCAACTAAATACATTTTGCCATAAGCGAGACATCAACGCGGAAAACTGCACACACCCAGACACGCTTCCAAAGGCGAACCAGCGAACCCAGCGGCGAGTCGACGAGAGAGCGCGGAGCGCGCGCTTCGCCCGCATCACTATGCCGACAGGAGCGCCGTGGTGGCCGTCGCGGCGGCGCTTGAAAACGAGGATCGCGCGCGCTCGGCGAATATGCGGGCGCTGGCGTCACCTCCCAATTCTAGCCACCATACCGCTGTGCCTGAACGACGGCAAGAAGACTGTCCATGAGTTGCTGCTGTCCCTCACGCGCTGCTGCTGACGTTGGAGAAATTCCGCGGGGCATGAGTGAACTGAAGAATGTTCTTTGCTTGGCGAGACCCTTGATGACGTGTTCTAAAGCGGCCGCATGATGAAACTCAGAGTACTTCGGTTTCATTTTCACTGATGGTTGGAGGTCGAGGTCCTCCGGCGTCTTTTCGGGTTTATGAGCGACGAACTCATAACCTTTTATTCTTAGCTTGTCACCGACTGCACGTTTGCCTCGCCGTGTATTTCTTTTTTTTTTTTCATTTTCAATTAGATTTGCGATTTCATAGTTGACGTTACGGCCAGTGCAAAATGCATGCCAACGCGTTTCTCGCAAAGTGTTTTTCTCGCGTCTACGATTGATAGATATGTGAAGTTTAACGTCCCAAAGTCGCCATATGAGTATGAGAGACGCCGTAGTGGAGGGCTCCGGAAAATTCGACCACCTGGGGTTCGTTAACGTGCACCCAAATCTCAGCACACGGGCCTACAACATTTCCGCCTCCATCGGAAATGCAGCCGCTTTCTTGCATCGAACGTTTGCTGCTATATTTTTTTTGCGAAATGGCATGTTTCACCAATGTATGTACATGTGTCCACAATCAGCTCGAGGTATGCGGTATAGACGGTTTTCCGCAGCGGCGAACGGGTGCTGGCACGTTTCAACACGTGATCTAATGACCTTCCCCTTTCCACTTCTTCACCGTCGCCGATAGCCGGCTGATTCGCCGCTGCTGCTCCCGGGTTGAAGGCCAGCAAAACAGGCGCAGTACTTAGTCCACACCACCAGTTCCTCTTTTAAAGACGATAATAAAGACGATAGTCTTTCTTGGAGACCTTCAACAAAAAGAAAGGACCCCGTATCTGCATCTAATCTGCAAATGCCGTCGAAAGACGGTAGTCTTGCGTGTGGAGGGAGTGAACAAAACATTTATTTGATGTTCTGCTCAGGAAAATTGGTGAATGATATTCTGGAGGTGCTGCGTTAGAGTGCCTCGAGCGTGCAGCGGAGGTGAACGAGCGCATAAAGCCACATAACACATGAGACATGACCGCCATCTGGCAGTTTTCTTGAAAAACAAAGCGCGTGGCTCTGAGACGGGTGCGCGCGCCCGTCACAGGGGTGATAAGGTGTCGAACGGTAGGCGATGGTTAGGTGCCACCACCGTCTCGTTTTAGCAAAGTGTTGGAAACACTCGCCTTTCCGTGCAAGCGTTGCATGGTCAGCGCAGCGTGATAAGCGCTACGGCCTTTAGAATTACTTATGTATGCCTCACTCAGCCCCCGCAAAGGGGGGATTCGGCTTTTTTGGACAAGTTCTATATGTATGATGAAAGTCGGCTTGGGGACTCATGCAGAGGCGACAATGAGGTAAGGTGTCATGCGGGTGAATTTTAGTATGTATGAAGAGGGAAATCAAGGTGATTTCGCACTGATATGTATGCTTGACACATTTTGCGTACGGCTATTCAGTGACACATTTTCGCAGGGTGGCGAAAAGAGGCGGCCGGAGCCCGACCGGCCCCTGCTGCTTCAGCTGCCGGGCGCCGCGGAGCCCTGCGCTGCTTTGGGCCCAATGTTCCTGCACACAGCGATGAGGTACTACAGGTACGCACTTCCATGTCCTCCTGGAAAATAGGTGCACTCCAGCACGATGAAGTGCCGCTGGGTTTTCCTCGGAGCATTACTATGCATGACGTTCCACTGCAGTTGCATTCTGGTTTTATTCTGTTTTACATGCATTGTATGCCTATTTTCTTGGAAAACATTTCGAATGTTTCATCCTATTTTTCTAAGAAATAGAATGAAACATTCGACCGAAGTCGAACGTTTCACAACCGAAGTCAGAGAAGAAAAGCTGGCAGATCCCACGTACAGTGGGAATCGATGATATGCGAAGCACGAATAAGAAAGCTTGAAATGTCACTTTAAAATCTGCACAACGATACGAGGTGTAGGTAAATGATGCCGTGCATGATTTCCGTGTCATGATTATCATGTTTGAATGTGTCATTTACCTTCGTCATCTGTTCATGTCAAGTGATACCAAATTTCGTATATGTGGGGCTATCGAAACGGCCGCGAGCATGCTATTAGCGTCGTATGTTGTCATGTTCTTACATGACACACGTCTGAGGATTATAATGTTTGCGCCAGTCATATATTTCGTCATCTATTGACGTCACGCAACACCAAATTTGGTATATGTTGTGCTAGCAAAACGGCCGCGAGCGCATCATGAAGGGCCAATATACTCCTATGTAGCGTTGACGCGCGCGCACGCTGTGCACAACGGCGCTACGTTAGCAAAACAGCGAGCACTCTATAGTGTGACGCCAGGCGCGACCGACGCGACCAGCGTCCGTCGGCACGGCCCGCCGGCAACCAGCGCAAAATTCGTGCCGATGCGTTACCCAGAAAACACTGCGTCTCCCTCTTTTCGTCACGGAGAGACGCCGGACGCGCTGAAACGCGCATGCGCCAAAGCAACGCAGCGCGACGCGCGCCTGCGAGTATATGTCAGGACCGGTGCCTGGCGTCGCAACGCCGGCGTCACACAACAAAATGAACGCCGGCGATCACGCGCACCGGCGTGACGTCGAAATGTATTAGCGCCTTGACTGTGACATATAGTCATGTTCTCACATGACACGCATCTCGTGATTATCACGTTTGGACCAGTCACATACCTTCGCCATCCATTGGCGTCACGTAATGCCAAATTTGGCATATGTGAAGCTAGCGAAACGGCCGCGAACGCATCATGAGCGTAGCATGTAGTCATGTTGTTACATGACACGCATGTCATGATTTTCATGTTGGGGTCTGTTGCTTGTGTTCGCCATGCAATCATTTCATACCATGCCAGTTTTACGACATGTCATGTGTACGAAACCAACGCAAGAGCTGCAGGACCATGCAATGTAATTAATGACATTCATGACATACATGTCATGATTTCCATGTTATGACTAGTCAAATATGTTCTTCATACAGTAATGTTATGCCAAACCATGTTTGGTATCGATACCATTATCGAAACGGCCAGGAGAGCTAAAAGTTGTAAGCGGCTAGACAGATAGATACGCTCAAAGTCGCCGAAGTTCGCCAAGAAATGCTTCGCATTTAAAATTTGGTATATGTGACGCCAGCAAAACGGCCACGAGCGCATCATGAACGCACCAATATACTCCAATGTAGCGTTGACTCGCGCGCATGCTGGGCACAGCGACGCTACGTTAGCAAAACGCGAGCACTCTATAGTCTGATGCCAGGCGCGACCAGCGTCCATCGGTGCAGCCCGGCGGCAACCGGCGCTAAATTTGACATGCTGCATTTCGCGCCGATGCGTTACCGAGACAACACTGCGTCTCCCTCTTTTCGTGATGGAGGGACGCCGGATGCGCTGAAACGTACATGCGTCAAAGCAACGCAGCACGGCGCGCGCCTGTGAGGATATGGCAGGACCGGCGCCTGGCGTGGCAACGCCGGCGTGATGCGACGAAATGAATGCCGGCGAGCCCGCGCACCACGTCACGTCGAAATGCATTCGCGCCTTGACTGTGGCATGTAGTCATGTTCTCACGTGACACGCATTATTATCACGTATTATCATTATTATCATGTTTGGACCAGTCACATTTTAGTCATCCATTGCTGAATACCATATTTGGCGTATGTGAAGCTAACAAAACGGCCGCGAGCGCATCATGAACGTGGTATGTCGTCATGTTACATGACACGCATCTAATGATTATCATGTTTGCACCAGTTACATACCGTCGTCATCCATTCAGGTACTGTAATGCCAAATTTGTATTTGTGACGCCAGCGAAATGGCCGCGAGCGCATTTGAGCGTGGCATGTAGTCATGTTGTTACATAACACGCATGTCATGGTTTTCATGTTAAGGTCTGTCGCTTGTGTTCGCCATGCAATCATGCCATACCATAACAGTTTTGCAACATGCCATGTGAACAAAACCACCGCAAGAGCTGCAGGATCATGAAATGTAAATCATGACATTCATGACATACATGTCATGGTTATCATGTTATGACTTGTCAAATATGTTCTTCTTACAGTCATGTTATGCCATACCACGTTTGGTATTAATACCATCTTCGAAACGACCAGGAGAGCTAGAAGTCGTAGGCGGATGGGTGGGTGGGTGGGTGGATGGATGGATGGATGGATGGATGGACGGACGGACGGACGGACGGACGGACGGACGGATACGCTCAAAGTCGCTGAAGTTCGCTAAGAAACGCTTCGCAATTAAAAACTTGAAAGGTGGTCACAACAAGCGAGAGCTTGTCAAATGCCTGCGTTATATTGGCTTACACAACAAAACACCTTTGCCATTCTTGCTCTGGCAACTCCAGGCGGCAGCCTGTTTTTTTGACAATGTGATTAACAAACACAATGAAACTCCACGCTGACCGGTTTCAATCCGGGCAGCAATCGGCAGGCGTCGTCTGACCGTGACCTAAGCAACACTAAATAGTTTGCGGGAGGCATGACTATACGAACTGGTTTTGATGTTACGCAAAGGACTCATCTACACAAGTCACATATAAACACCACCCTCGCGTTTTCTCATACATCAAACTTGCGCATATCATTCACTAACAAGTCCGCATTGCAACATTTGAAGATCACGTGGAAAGACTCCGCCTGGCCCGACGAGGCCTAATGCCTTGGGAGGCCTTGAAAGAGGGGCTCCACCCACCATCCGTTAATATTTTTATATGATTCTAGCTAAACCGATGGGTCTATGTTTCATCGAGTCCTTTATGTCTCTTCGCTTGTGCATTATTGAAATGCGGGCATTTTATAAACGCACTGGCCCTTTTGTCATTTTTGTTGTTAAGTATACAGAAAATGTATTCCGTTTACGACCCCCTTCTCCTCTCCTGGTGCTTTCCCGATAGATATTTCTTGTATGGTTTTATTCAGTAGTTACTTATGAAGGTTAATTGTCATGTTTGCTTTCGTTAAGAAATGGGTGACTCATCTGCGAACTGATCAGGGCCGCAGTCGCTGCCACACGCCACAAAGGCCAAGCTCATTGTCAGAGAGGCGCGCGACGCGTGCGTTGCCCGAGTCAGGTGGGTACGTGAACATCACGCTGTCCACGCTTTACACCGTGTTCATCAGCAACGCAAATGAAGGTGTCTCTCTCGTGTTGCACTTAAACGATGTCATTTAGCGAGATACAGCGTTCTGTACTGTAATAAGTTGGTGAAAAACTGTGAGGTCATGCAAATATCGTAATTGTGAACGAAACAGTGTAATGGAGCGTTTTAAGACACAAGTGCGATTGTTAGGTTAGGTTAAGATTTAAGGTACCTTGAGGTGAAGTGGGGATGGTGGCTCCAGATACGAACATCAGTAAGTAGTTGTGTTAATACCTAAGCGGGATAGCATGCATAGTTTCACATCACTATAGGGTCTCGTGGTGGTGTCACGGGCTTAACGATGTTGACCGCAGTCAAGTTTGTGCCACTATTACGGTATACGGGCCAGGGTATTGCGCAAGTTGTTCTGAAGTACGTTCAGGGCTTCCTTCAAGCTTGTCAATCGCTCACCTTAGTTGTATATGTTCGTTGCCACTCCAGATTAAGAGAAGTAGTTTAGGAAGTATGTTTGCTTATGTCAGGTCTTCCGGTGACCCCAGCACTCGCAGGTCTGAGAACGAGCCAACTGACGGCGATGTTCAGTTAGTGCTCTTGTTTTGGAAACTTCTGCGCACTCTGAGTTTACCGGTCTGACTGATATGTGGGGTTTAATGACCCTAAGTCACTATATGATTAGGAGAGACGCCGTAGTGGAGGGCTCAGGAAGTTTTGACCACCTGGGGTTCTTTAACGTGCACCCAAATATGAGCACACGTGTTTACTGTACTTTCGCCGCCCCCGAAAATGAGTTTACTAGTCGACAACGAGGTTAAACTTTAAGTAGAGAGAAAGCTAGTGATCATAAAAGTAAAAAAAAGAAGCAAAAAAGAAACAAAGTGAGAAACGTTGGTAGTTTGCATCGCGGAGTTGTGCGAAAACAGTATGCAAATAGTTCCTGTTAACAGAACGTTGATTTTCAGCCTGTCGACTAGTGTGCGAGTGCACTGTTCAGTAAACATGCTTGCTTGTTGCTGGTACATAGTTGATTATCAATTAATGTTGTTACACGCAGCAAGGAAGATGGACACTTCGAACATGTCTATTGTTGCCCCCTTTTTCGCAGGCTATGGATCTACACGTGCAACGTGGCACTTCTCCTGAGCGCGCTGGCGTTCTCAGTCGCAGCCGCCTGGGTACTGTCCGACTACCGAGCGTCGCTGGTGCCCGGTCTGCGGCTGGCAGACCCGACCTTTGTGTACGCTGTGCCTGCTCTTCTCCTACAAGGTGGCTTACTACAGGCGAGTCACGTGCGAGTTCTCAGCACACTGTGCCCTCCGATCCCATAATGCTACGCGCTTCCCGCATTTTCTTGTTTTAATGGAACACTCACGGTCACTTCGTGTCGTCAGGGGAAATCGAAAAGAATTGCCTCTGGCATTTTGATATTTTATGCATACTGCAGTATTCGTGTAAACTGCCGTATTGATTGCGGAACTACTTTGATGTTTTGAGAATGACAGCACCCCACAATAAAATGCAAGCCGATTAAAGAAAGCTCATTAATTTCGGTTAGCTGAGTTTTTCTTTTTTGTGTTTGTGTAGGTTGTCGCTGGCAGTAGACGTTTTCCACGATGGTAGCAGTGACAGGAACAGCAACTTGACCAGTAGCTTAGGTGATACAGTTTATGGCTAAAAACTAGCTTTAACAAAATCATCTTATAGTCCCCGAACACCTATATTCGCAAGTTTCGTAGAGTGTCACGCCGCCTCACGGACACTGGCGGAATTTTTTCAAAGAGTATCGGTCGGTGAGGCGGCAGCGCTCCTGGGTGCATTTATTTTGTGTTGTTCGAGTCGTCATCGTGGCCAAATTTAGGCCAAACTAAATACTTAAATTTAAAAGCTTCCAAAGCAATAGCATGCGCTGCGTGCCGCAGTGTACAAACAGAGCATCGACGAGACTCAGCCTCAATCCCTTCCCAAGAGATGCATTGATTTGTGGGGTTTAACGTCCCAAAACCACCATTTGATCATGAGAGACGCTGTAGTGGAGGGCTCCGGAAATTTTGACCACCTGGGTTTCTTTAACGTGCACCCAAATCTGAGCACACGGGCCTACAACATTTCCGCCTCCATCCATCCAAGAGATGCAGCAAAGAAAAAGGAATGGATACTGAACTTGAGAATCGGCAAGTCGGTCACATCACTGGTGAAAGTGTGCAGCCTGCACTTTGTCAGCACCGACTACTTCTGGAGCAACATAGGCAAGAAAACGAGAATATCTTATTTTTGCTTCCGTCAAGCCCCAGTTTATGCTCATCATTATATCTCGCCTCGTCAGAAATGCGTATGTTTACATCTTGGGCTGAACCCAGTATTCGATCACTGCGTCGAGCTTGAGCTGCACAGTTGTACACAGCGCAGCGGGAACGAGCAGCTTAGGCCATCTCATCATGACCGTTTGTGAAAGATGTACTCAGCGTCTTGCGAAAGACGCCGAGTACAAAGACGTAAGTGTTTGTGAAACCGAGAGAAAACCTTACTTTTTGTGAAAGACACACTCTGATACTCTCTGTGGGAACGATATTCAGTCACCCACTGCGCCCTCTATGGGCAACGAAACTTGCGAAGTGTTTATTCAGTTCAAGTAGAGAAATGATAGTTGCATAGAGTGATACAGCGAGCTATAAAAAATAGTTCGTTCATTGCGGAGTTTTAAATTCTGCTTGTCTGCGGGGGAGCAAGATTTAATCTTGAGGAACGTCAACTGCGATTAATGTCATCCATATGGCACAGATATTAATGACATTGTAGGCTGGAATATTGGGTGCCGTTTGAGGACTTTTGCATAACCAGTGAGATATTGAATACTTGATGGCAGTAAAGGGGGTATCACTGTCACTTTTGGTTTGTAACTTACAGTAACGTTAGCTCAAAATTTAATAGTTGTGGTCGCATTGCTATGAATTTTTTTTATAAAGGATATGTGCATGAGCAATGCCACTTCGCGATCGAGTTCGCGCGGCTGCTGGAAACTGGAAACTGAATGAGCTGACTGCATTGGTAAGGTCGCAACCTCGTGCTTGGGTAGGAACTCCAGGGCCACACACAGCCATGGATGCACGTCCTCGTGACCTCATACATAAATTACACTTACTGCGCATAAGTGCAGCTGTACGCCACGGTCACGAAACATACTTCATGCTCTTCGACTGTTGGTGTGGAAGCAGCAGGGCTGGTGGAAGCAGCAGGACAGTGGTGGCTCGTGCTATTTTTTCTGTACGAAAGTGTTTTATACGGAGGTCTACCACCACTTCACTGACGTATTCCCGTCACGAATATAACTTTGTAATATATATATATATATATATATATATATATATATATATATATATATATATATATTACATAATATATATACACTAACAGATTGCGAAGAAACAGACGGAAACGAAATATCCGTCGTGGGGCGTCGAACCAGCGACATCTCACTCCTGAGCGCGCAGCACTAACCACTACTACAACGCGTACATTGTCAAGCTATTTGTATACACTATATACACTTTGGCAGTCCTCAGAGCTTCGCAACTGCAGTGTGTTTTTGTCATCAGTAACCAGATGGCGCGAAATGTGCGCTAGGTGCGTTCTAAAAATCCTCGCCTCTCGCGTTCCTTCTCGGGCATGCTTTCTTCTGCACGCGCGCTTATCAGACTCGTGATTCGAGAGAGCATGAAGGTCACTTCATGTGCTGCCGTGGCCGCGTTTACAAAATGAGCACACTGCTCACCGGCGTTGTACGGAACGGCGTTCCAAGGAATGACGTCCTAAGAACTAGTTCCTTTTGAGAGGAACGGGAAAACGCCACCGTTCCACACAGGATCACTGGAACTGCAAGGGCTGGTTCACGCTAGCGGCAAACATGCCTCGCCGTTTGACGTTCTCAGGCAGCTGTGTGCGGCCTTTTCGTTCGAGCACATCTGCCGTTTTTTGCCATTCGAAGAATGGATCCGAGACGCATTTTTGTGCCGCTTGCCGGAGACTGACGTAGCCAATCAGCGACGGAGGAGTGACATGGCTGAGCCACGTCGTCTGCTTTCATCTTTCCCAATTGTCTGCGTCTGCCGCAGGACACTTCGAGGTGCTTCCTCCTTGCTCCGCGGTTTTCACGCTATGTCGTACGAGTTGTTCTCAGACTACGTTCCAGCAGTAAATAGAGAATTTTAGCCTGTCTGGTATTTAAAATAGCGCACAGCTATTCAAAATGACGTCTCCCAAAGCAGGTGTTTGGATAAGTAGCGCTGCTATCCAGCATCAGCAACAACAAACGTGTAATGTTCAAGATTCGGAAAGGCGTGCTTGAGCCAGCAATATCAATTATTTGAGTATGGCTCTCAAAATGGTGCCAAATCGATTCCACTACTGTGTTGCCGAAGCTCAAAGACGTGTGTCTAAAGCGAATGGAAGCATCAGTTCGGACTTTCGAGCTACAGAGCGCACGGCGGCAGCTTGTTGGATTTGAGGTGGTCGACAGCTGCATTCGGAAGCGCAGCCATGTTTGTCGGAGGCTCAAATGCCTCGTCGATGAAGCTTACCGTGCACATGGAAAGGCTCTCCTGCGTACGGCACCGGCCGCCGGTCTACGGCATCGCGCCGTCAGGGCATGGTTGCCGCTAGTGTGAAGTTGCCCTAACGGTAACATCTCCGACGGAACGGCAAGGGGAACGGCTTTCCTTTTCTAATCATTCCACGGCAGTCAACAGGCACGCGAACACACGGAGCACACCGTGCAGACTAGTGCGGATGGCCGATCGCGTGAGGCACGCGGCTATGCTGCATCCTGGTTTCCACTTCAAGATGCCCGCAGAAGGCACAGGCAAGTGCGTGACACCGACCATGTGCGGAAGGGACAGTTTTTTATTACGATAGCTTTGAAGGGCTCGTTCCGCAGAAGTTCCAGTGGCGGCGTCGTTGTTTGTGAGCGAAAAATCATCATCGTATGCGTGACCGAAAAATCAAGAAGTATGCAAATAAAATAAATAAATGACAAAAGAACCTGAGGTATTTGGATCTGAGTGGGCATCGAACCTGGGTCAATTGCGTGGCAAGCTGATGTTCACATGGCCACGCCTCTGCTTGTGGAAACAGTCAAAATAACTTCCTCTGCTTGTGAATCCAGTTAGAGTATCTTTCATGCTTAACAAACACACGCGTCCTGTGTACATGTTTCGCAACACAACATGAAATACTGCCGTAATAATGCGTGAGACAAGCGTACATTGCCATCGGGCTTGACAACATGGCATTATCATGACTCCATTGTTTAAAACGAGTCACTCTATACAAAAGGTACCCAGGCTACTGCACTCTTAAGGTGACGTAATGGGTGCATAGCAAGTTCAAAAAGACTTCACAGACTAAGTTTTTGAAGCACACTCTAGGAATAGATTATCACTTTCTTCACAGCTGCCTTGCAGGGAATGCAAAAGTGAACATGCCTGATTGTCTCCACACTACTAGAAAAACTGGACACTCTTTTGACAGGGTACTTATTGCCTCATATTTGCTAAGATGAGTAAACACAGCCTGAAAAATCAAGGCAGGCAGGCAGGCAGGCAGGCAGGCAGGCAGGCAGGCAGGCAGGCAGGCAGGGCAGGCAGGCAGGCGGGCGGGCAGGCAGGCGGGCAGGCGGCGGGCAGGCGGGCGGGCGGGCGGGCGGGCGGGCGGGCGGGCGGGCGGGCGGGCGGTTTAAGTTAGAAAGCGGCGCGATTGCAGCGGATGATACGGAGAACTAGCAGCCAACACAAACATCAGAGCACTCACGCATTTGACGGCTCGCTTTCCATGCCCTCCTGATTGCGCTAGCTATTCCATGCTCCTTTGCAAAGCGAAACTGACGAAAAACTCACCGTCAGGTGGTGTACTTATGAAAAGGGAACCAGTTCGGTTCGGACTGTCACGGTGAATGGACGTGTTTTTGAGCGCTCCCGATCGACTGCGCAGATAAGTTGTTTTGCATGTTTTGAGCTTGTCTTTATAATTATAAGGCAGCAGTTAAAATCCCTGTAGCATTTTATTATTGTACGGCTTTTTCGGGGGTCACTCACCAGGTATTTATTAGTTTGTGCTTGTGTGTGTGTTTAATTTTTTTTGTTTTTTTGTTTGTTTTTTTACCACGCCATGGGGGAGGTGCACGTACATTAAACACGCAAATTTTTGTAGTAGAGCTTAGACTTTCTTTTTTTCGTAGGACAGGGCTCGAGTTTTGTTATCATTGAGTGTGTCAAGCCATAGGGACAAT